TCGAGAGCGAATCACGTGAGAGTGACAAAATTTTGATGTCGCCCACGCGACCCCCTACAGAGAGAGATAAAGCGCTATTCCCCATAAGAAATAACAACTTCAATCACGCGCGGCGCACCTGGGCATGCGACCTTTAGACTGTTCATCCATTTGAATTTATCATGATTATGATTTATGAATAAATATTTATTATTGGTTTTTCTTTTACAAGTGGTATATAATATCGACCCGTCTCGGGTCCACGAAACATAACGTTTCCTTCGAACGGGGTAAATAAGCGTTAATTATCATATATTCAAATTTTATTCTCGTTCGTATTTTGTCGAATTGCCTTGGATAATTTTCGGTATTCTGTGGCAGACCCGTTGTTTTAGGTGCTGACGTCAAAGCGACGTAACACCTTTTTAACCGAAGATCGATCCAAAAAATTGTTATTGCTCGCTGTGGTTCCAAACTCTCGCGCGGTCGAGAGTTTTCTTAAAGCCCACCAAAACTGAATATTTAAAGCATAAATTAAATGGCTTTGAGCGATTTGTATGTTAGATAAAGAAGAAAATTCTAACTTGCTTTCGAAGTACACAGTGAATCAAAAACGTCAACAAAGGTGCAAATCTTTCTTTGAGGATTAGATATTGAATAGCAAATGAATTTTTATTGAGTGTATTTTTATTAAAAAATTTGTATGTTGTACTGGTGTCGGTCATCGATTTGCTCCTGATTTGAATACATAATAAAATAATTATTGAATTCGGTTTCTCTATGATATCAACTTCATTCAAATTAAATAAATAAATTATAACCTATCATAATAATTTTGTAAATTACTTAAATACATCTTGTCTGTCTGGCGTCCATATATTCCGAAATTTGCTTCCAGAATTTAATTAATTATATATGCTTCTGAAAACTGAAAATTCGCGTCGCATTGCTCTTCGCGTTCAGCGTGTGTCGCCCTTAAAGCTGTTTACTATTACATTCGCTTCACTCGCGTGGGTGAAGTGACCTTTGAAAAACTCAGATGCGACCGTGACGGGCCTAAAAAATAAAGCGCGGAGTGGTGGTACCCCCCATCCGTAGCCAGAGGGGGGGGGGGTATCACTACTGCGCGGACCGACGTAAAGGCGGATTTTTCCACTCAGTTAAAAATGTCGCGCAATCGACTTTTTGCAATCGCTTTCTTTTGAGATGCAAACAGTCAAGCGGAACTAATTAGATGAGCTTGAATGAACACATTTCAAAAGAAAGCGATCGCAAAAAATCTATCGCGTGAAATTTTGCACTGAATGGAAATCTGCCTAAATGAAGAACCGCCTTAAAGGCCGACACAGACAGGACGCGAATTGGCAGCGCAACGCAAATTTTCAACGTTTTTAATTTTTTAAAATCAAATAAATTTTAAACTATCATTATATTTATGTAGCTGACATAACAATAATGACTGCTTGGCGTCCTTAGATGCAAATTTTGCCCCAGAATTTAATTTTTATATGCTTCTGAAAATTGAACTGAAATTCACGTCGCGCGTCGCATTGCGCTTCGCGTCCGGTCTGTGTCGACTTTTAGACAGACGGGGCGGCGGCCGTGTAATAACTGCGTATTATTAACAACTTATTATGCATTATCATACCGCTTCAGCATTTCGCATCAATATCCAATCTCCTCTCTCTAAATTTTCTCTGTTGTTGGTGACGTTTGTGAGTTGACAATTTTCAACATTTTTTGTTGTTCTGTAGTTAAAACCAACACATTTTTCATCGTCTTTGCAGTGAGTGTGACATCCCAACATGACACAAAAGTTACGTTGCGTCTTGATGTTATTTCATCACTGGGTAATGATGAGCCTCCTAAAAAAAAATAAAAAAATATTACAATTTAAAAAAAAACATCCAAAAATTAACTCAATGTGTAACTAAATAAACTTTACATGATATTGCCGATGATATAATTATTTGGATACGATTTTGGACAACGTTCTCCATAATTCCGCTAAGATGAAGACGGTAACTCACCTTTTTTAATGATATCGTAATTCGTTGGGGAACAACTGCTTGCGTTAACATTTGAAGTTACAAGGAACAGTAAAGTACAAGTTGCCGCAAAAAATTTAATCATCGTTGGAATCAGCCTATTTCTGGCTTAGTGGTGGAAAGTTGAGTTGTTAGTCGTATAATTGGAAAAGCGTGTGAAAAGGCATGTCATGCAATGATGATGATTGGGTCAGCTGTATTTAAAAAAACGAAGCAAACGTCTTAATTATTTTTTTTTTAATTATATTTGTTGACATTTAGCTGCCATTAAATTAAATTTTATACACCTTGTTTTCAGAACAGCCAATTCATTATAAAAAAATATATGCATTAATTGAATATGTTGAGTGGCATGGATGCAAATATTAAAACGACAGTTTGTACTAAAAAAATTGTGTCAGTTGTGGCAAAATCTTAATCGTTCATTGTGTCGGGTGTTAAATGACATGACTGAGCATTTAGTGGCAAAAAAGGGACCATCTAAAATATCATAACATGATGATTTTAAACGCGTTTTTAAACCACTAAAATGGGATTGCCGCCATTACTCTTAATAAGCTAGAATTCTATATAGACAGTCTCAACAAGCATCATGTATATTAATTCCTAATTATCCAACGAAATTACTAATGAATATACACCAGGGATCATAGATGCTTTATAAGAATAAATCGGAACTGAAGAAATACCCCTTCATTGCGTTGTTTGAAGTAGCTATTTGGGAACGAAGAGTGCTGCGTTCGAGTTAGGATTTTGAGTACAATTATCAGACCTGGAGTAAGGTGCATGGATTTGGCGAAATATTATTAATAATTAAAAATCATTACAGGAATCATGAGGGAAATATTTTGCCGAATCCCCCGAAATGATATATTATACCGATAAAATATTGTGAGCTTATAGAACAGCCAAACACAAATACAGTACAAAGGTTTGGGAAAATGTTTCTATAAATAAGTACTCGATGAAGGCGTAAAAAAATTACCGAGAAACGTATTTTAACATCACTTTAACTTTTTTGTGTTTTCACTACGTCATTCGTCGAGATTTCGGTTAATTTTCTCGTTAGAATCGCTAATTTCGTGTTTTCAAGCAGACAAGAAAACCATTCGGACCAGTCTGTGCGACATTTAACGTCATACGCCTATAGCAGCCTAGTCCCTAGGCCTCATTGCGCGTGTTTATATTTGCGTGACGAAGCTTATCATAATCATAAACAAGTACGTGCGGACTCGAATTACTCTACAAGCAGTATGACATTGCAACGTTTGTATGAATATTTCAAATTCCTGGCAGCATAATTAATTCAATCCCGTAGCTAATTTGAAGCCAATATTTGACTAGCGAAGTCGAGCTAACCGCGTGGTAAATTGTAAACTTCCTAACATTTGACTAACGACGTCGAGCTAACCGCGTGGTAAGAGTTGTAAACTCCCCAATATTTGACTAACGACGTCGAGCTAACCGCGTGGTAAGAGTTGTAAACTCCCCAATATTTGACTAGCGAAGTCGAGCTAACCGCGTGGTAAATTGTAAACTCCCTAATATTTGACTAGCGACGTCGAGCTAACCGCGTGGTAAATTGTAAACTCCCTAATATTTGACTAGCGACGTCGAGCTAACCGCGTGGTAAGAGTTGTAAACTCCCCAATATTTGACTAGCGAAGTCGAGCTAACCGCGTGGTAAATTGTAAACTCCCCAATATTTGACTAGCGACGTCGAGCTAACCGCGTGGTTGATCGAAAACTCCCTAATATTTGACTAGCGACGCAGCGTCGTAGATCATAAACTAGGGAGGCTTTTGTGTGAGAAGCACGTCAAGAATATAGGGTCCTTTGCTTCGCTCGCAGCAATAACTATGTATAATTATTTCTTTGTCTCATTAATATGGGGTTATAGGAATTTGTTATATAGGTGCTGTGTATTTTAAATGTGATTGGATCATTCCCAGTCACATGACTTTAAAATAAATGCAATGTTTCCCGCCAGGGAAACAAGTAGTGAAAAATTTTTGCCCGCATATATTGCCATAACAAAGTAAACTGGGGTTTTTGGACCAGGAACTGGTCCCTAACCGCTGCTAATCTTGTTGTTGTTGTTGTTAGGGGGCGACGCTCTTTAAAAAAACCCTAAGGCTCTTTCATTACTTGTTTGATCGAAATGAAACTTGGCACAATTATTCTAAGCATTATTCCGCATCGATTGACGGAGTTCGAATTTTACTTTTGACCTTTGAAGCAAGTTACAAGCAATTCTTGATATATTTGCAGCAAATAATATATACATATCATTAATATTCAGACTATATACAGTATAAGTAAACGGAAACGATTAGAAATACATTGTCCTCTCCATTGTTATAAATACAATGCAGTTCAGAAATTAAACTCGGTTACGCAGTTCCTGGTCCCTATAGTACGATCGTACTTGTTTAATGAAATTGTTGGGTATAATATGTATGTTTTTGTTCCTATATAACAAAGCACTTGAGTTTTGCTTTCCTTTTAGTCTCGATGTCTTACTCGACTTCGACTCGGGAAAATTAAAACAAAACTGACTATTTCCCTCGGGAGCATACAATAAGTGTATATTATACGCTTAAAGGATATTTCATATAATCATGATTATCAAAAGACTTTGGCTACCTTTTAATTGGTGCGAAAGTCTATACGTTTTAAAATTGAAATATAATGAGATAGTACTTAAATAATGGTAAACTTACCGGATTGTAGATTACGTCTACAAGCAAGGAAAAGACAATGAAGATTAAGATGGATTTAAATAGCCTTAATCTTAATGCACGTATAACACCCTAAAAGTAAATATGATTAAAAGATATAGCTTTAGAGTGCTAAAGATTTTATTTTTGTTGTTTTGTTTGACTAGTTTGCGAATCAATTTTTGGATTCCACTATCTTAAGTACGCATATATTTATAACTATATATGTATTATCATTTATTGTCATACACAATGCCACTACAGCATACACCATAGTAGTCCTATTTTTTAACTGTTACACGTGATGGCAGCGACTTCCAAAATATGTGGACCTAATCACGTTAAATTAAGAAAGAATATACCAACTGAAAAGCAAATAAAAACGCGCGAATATAATAAAGAGAGTCTGTAAACAATTTTGTAACCACAGTAATGCTTTAATTCCTAAGGGTAGAGAGAAAACATCTATTGCTATTCCCCTGCATTTCTCGCACTAAAATGACTGCGGGCGGATTTTCATCGATGTACTTTTCAGGGAATAGTAATAACCTTTCCATGAATGCCAATTGATACCATCAGCATATGACTGGTGCGCACCATGACGATACAGACCATTGAGATTGGATACATGACAGTGCTTATACCACCAACCACCCTTGAATTGCACAGCGCAATTTGCATTATACTTATCATTGTCGGAATCTTTTGTCGAGAACGCCATACCATTGTGGTACGAGAAGGAATTTCCTGCAGTACCTGTGGATTGTCAACAAAACATTTATTACATGATTTCCCCGTTTCCTATTTGTCATGTTCTTTGTAAATATTTTATAGATACGTTAGCATAGATTTCAAATCGACGTCCCTCATAGACACCGGCCTAGTATGTTGATGAGGCTAGCGTCGATAAGATTTTTTGTAAATAAAGGTCACAAACAACAGAAAATCGAAGATGTCCCCGACCATCAAAGATGTGCCCGACCATCAAAGATGTGCCCGACTGTCTACGGAAAAAAATAGCGACGTCGAATATGGATAGTTCTGAATAAATTTTGTCCAACAGACAAGACAAAAATTAATTGCCTACCAGAGTAAGTGCCAAGACTAAGTTGATATTTCTGGCTCTCATTAGCAACAGCAAAGAAACCATATTCTGCGTATTTCTTGTTCGTGGAAGTATCTTCCATGTCGATACGCAGCTTGTTCTTAGAAGCGGTTGTAAGTCTGTAGATTTTGTCTAGTCCAAGCCAGAATTCTCCGTTCAAATCACCAAAGCCATGCTTATAATCTTGCCATCCTCTGTAGAAATCAATACTGCCATCAAGACGACGTTGAAACACTGCCCATCCTCCACCAGATGTCGTCATATCACAGGAAACATTAAAGCTGCCCTTGCCGTCTGGATCAATCCTGTAAACTCCATTTTGTTTTATACCTTTGTTATACAAATCAGCGCAATTCTTTCCTGCAACAATAACAAGTTGCTGAAGTACACGAGCTGAAGAAAATACCTATCTCCTTTGGTGTTAAGTATGATTGTAAACTACAAAAAACGTTGTGCTCATTAGGTTACCTTCAAAAGTCTTCGAAACATTGGTACACGAGACTGATTTGCCCAGTTTTTTCTGCAGTTGGAGCAAGATCTCAGCTTTCATTTCAGACAACAATGCTTTTATCTCCGAAATTTTTGGTTCCCGAGCACAATTCCCAACGGTAGTATTTTTTTTCGTAAAGCAGATCTCCTCCGCTTCATGAAGAGTAACTTCAAATGCATTCATGCTAAAAATGCAATTTAGATACAAATCTTAATCAGCTGTAAACAACATTATAAAAAATATAGTGTGTGTATCGATGACGCAGTAAAAGGTTTGTAACAAATTGAAGTTAATAAGTTCACGGCAACAATCGCAATTATCGCTACTATGGTTTAATAAATGAAAGTAATCGCCACACAAAGATTACATTCACGATCCAACGTTTCAACTCTGGCCTAGTGTCTTCATCAGGGGTGATCTAATGTTAAACATTGATCCATATGTATACTCTCAACATGACGTGTATCAATCCGATGTAAATATTCTTTTGGCAAATAGCTTTCTTCATCAGTTCATCCTTACTATTTTAGGGAAGATAGACTCGCATTAACATGCCAGGCTTCCAAGCAAAGCCTTTGCCCATAACGATAGTTAGTGCATGGTAATGACTTTAGTTATGTACTAACGATATTTAGTACATGGTAATGCCGAACTGACATTTTGTTTTGCCTAAATATTTTTTCTCGCAATCACCACATGATATAGAAGATAATTATTAAGCAGCATGAGTTTTCTGCATGTTTAGTCGCTGCGCGATCTTTGGGTTTGGCGAAAATATGTCCTATAATGTCTGAAAGGGTTTTAAGGCAACTTTGCTACCAAAATTATTCATGATCCTCCTTATTGGTTCTCCAACTCTCTGAATGTATGGGACTACTGCAAAGCACGTTTTTGAGGAATCACCCTTTTAGGAAATACATTCAGTCAAGACGGGGGTTTTTAAACAATCATTTAAAAAGTTTTGGGGATGTTTGCTCCCTCGCAATACATTGAGGACATAATCACGTAGTCTCTGTCAAAGCAATTAGATGTTAATGATTCAGCTCTTTGAAACAAAGTTTTTGCGACTGACTTTTTATGACTTTTTGTGTGGTGTGAGTAGGATAGATATTTGTTGATAGATACATAGATGAACATCAGTTTCTAACTGCCCTTCGATATTTCTATAAACGTAAGTATCCAAAAAAGCCAATTACTCCTTAGAGTGATAGCGAATTGTATTGATGGCTCAATAGAATTCAAATGTTGCAACAGAATATCGATTTCATTTTGGTTAAGGGCAGTGGCCGGCCACGTCATCAATATATATCGTTTCAAAATTAAAGGGTTAACCGGACCTGACTCGTTCTCAGTCACTTTGGTGTTACGCAAACAAATAATTATAATTATAATTATAATTATATAATGGCGCGTCAACGCACGGAGGAACGCGCGGAGGGTAATGAATGTAGTCACTGATCTATAAATATCACTACTGATCTAAAAATGTCCAAATAAGGGACTGCGGAGGAGTCGGTAACCGGACTAGAGGCTAAAGCTCTTTATGACAAAGAAGCATCTTCCGTGAGACCTTTTTCAGCGACTTTGATTGCAGGATTAACAGGGATTTTTGGAAAACAAAGGAACGACATCAAACGATACGAGCACTTGGTCTGCATTTAGAGAGTCAACTCTAATAAATTACGCGAAATGAGTGGAGTTTTTTATTGTGTAGACAGTATTCCTAACAATCGGTGACAATAGTTTTGAAATTCATGTCCGATTTTCCAAGAATAGAAAATAAAGATCAACTGAACGAAACAACGTCATTAAAGTAACCGTAAACCTGTTGAAATGCTGCCTTACCTTTGTATTCCTGAGGAAAAGGAAAAGATAAAAATGAAAACAAATTTCAGCATCATCTTGTGAACCATCCTTATACAAAATAAATAAACCAATATTTGTTGATGAAAATAGCTTCTGCATTGCGCAAAAAAGTTGAACTTGTTTAATTCAGTTTATATAACATGCATCAAGTTACATTTAATTAATAATATATTTTCACTGGTCACTCTGCCACATAATGCCTTGAGCCGATTATAGCTAAGTATGTGGAGTGAAACATTTCCAGCTAAAAGCGGAAGGTGACAGAGCAACCGTTGTGTCGCAGCCGAGGGAAGGCCGGGGGGGGGGGGTACGGCTGTGTGAACCTTTCCCCAACTCATCCTCGTTCCCAGGTTTTTCGCGTACTAGCTGCGTGTGCCAAAAGCGCTAAGAAAATCAATGCCGACAATCAACGATCTTTGTAAATTTTTCTTATTTAACATCTAGATCAAAACGGAAAAATAAGTTCCTTCAATTTATTTACTTAGTTTTTTCAGAGATAACATATATACAGATTCATAAGTTTACGTGGGTATGAGAAGCATATGTACGAGGTGTATACAAAAACTCAGCACTTAATATCCATGAATTTCATAGTTATTATTTACGCTTTCCATTTATTTACACCTTCCGTATGTCATCAAGAAATGAACAAATGATCTTTAAATAAAATTTTGCGATCCAAATCACCGTTTGGAATTAAATCATTTCTAAGAAGAAATGACACTGCATTTAACAGTGCGTCTGACGACGGCAAACGCCACATTTTCCGGGCAACATTCCAGGCAACAATTAAGGAATATGCAAGGGATCTAAGTCGTTGATGTGTGTTTGCGCATTGAATTAAAAAAAGCTCTATCAAACCTTCTTAGCTACAGCGGTTGCTTGTTTAATGGAGAAATAAATATTTAATACTGCATGGCATAAATCAACGTGAACTGACTTTATCCTTACCTTTATTGATTTGTTTCTCTCTTGATGATATCAAGGCGACAGACTGTACTTTAATTAGAGAACACTGAAACTGCGGCAATATTTACCCGCTATGTTATGACGCTTGCTGAAACGGAAGTGACAAGTGCGGTATTAGAGGTTGTGCAACACGTTTAAAAGTCGAAATTTTTCATCATTGCTTTCTTGTGTGTAATGAATCTTTAGGAATTCATGAAACAGAAAATCGAAATTTTGAAGATTCTGTACCATGTTCTGAAAATAGTCATCGCAATAAATATAAACCACAATTATGATTGAGATATACATGCACTTGCATGTTTTAGCGAATAAGTGGGCGGCATTAATAATTTTTGTTGTATGCCAAAAAAATTTAATTTACTGAGCTTTCTGAAGTCCGTTGGATGTATACCGAAATTCATTAGTATACAGCACAAAAACTGCTCGCTATGTGAAAGTTAATAAAGCGAACATAATTAAGATGTGTACTCTGTAGGCGCCAATGAGAGAAAATATGCATGCATGACATAAAAATACAACACAAAAAGTTGGACAAGTTTTCAAATTTGTAATGTTGCTGTACGCTGCGTGCATGTCTTATGAGATATCCCTAACTTGTCAGTTCAAGCGAACAATCTTGGCGATTGGCCGAGCTTTACACAATTAAAACAGCGAGCAAATACCTGGTTGAAAGTTTCGTGGCGGAGGTTTCAGTAAAACGAATTCTCACTCGTACTAGAGAAGGAATTCAACGTGTAAAGGTCGGAAGTATCTCTAATATCGAACTTTGTTAAGTTTGTTTATTGTTGGTGACCTCTTGAAGCTTCCTGTAGTTAAAATCAACGAATATTTTCAGTTTTCGTGGTCAAATCATAGGCAGCCCAGGAAACATGCGAAAATTATGTATGCATGCCTGTTTATGTACTACATATATTATATAAGGTAGGCAACTCTACGAGCTCTGAAGAGGTACACGATGTAAACAATTGATTGAAAAATATACGCACAATCCTGATAAAAACTAAAAAAAATGTTAAAGAACAAAACAATGATAGTTTTTCTCAATTGTCATGAAAACATTTTGTTCAAATAGAGTAGAAAAGTGCAAAAAGTATATGCAATTTTTAAAGCATTTCCTGCCAAAATTTCCTGTCTCGATGCTGGATGCCAAGGGTGCCTGTAATTCGTCATTTTCTTAAATGCAACACGCAATATGATTGGCCCGAAAAGTGTAGAAAAACATTCTGCCCAATCATATTGCGTCATTGTATTAAAAAAATGACGATTATACAATAACTTAATGGTTATGTATTTGATGAAACGTTGCGACGTGTCCAGTTTCTCGTGAATCAATTTTTGTCGATGGCGCAAAGAGTTTCTGTATTCCCTTGCAACCGAGGCAGAAGTGGTCACATCCTCGTCGTAATATGCGAGCGGGTGATATCGTGATAGTTTGTCTGATATCGGGTGAAAGTTCGTCTGGACGCATCATTCGTCTGTTAGTATAAAAACGGGGTGGGAACTACGAAAAATTCTAAACGCGCGATTTTGTTGGATTTGACACATTCGTCTACTATACATAGTTCGTCTTTAGATAGTTTATCGTAGCTATGTAGCTATATACTCAGACGGATCATTTGTCCAGACGGATTATCCGTCTCTAGTATAAATCGGGCCAATGTCCAAGGAGAAATGTGCTGCTGCTCAATCTAACCTCGAAAAAATGCGTGGGAAAATTAATTGACCTGCTAAAACCTTATAGTTATATATTATTTAAAGAACCTTTGAGAGTAAAATATTTCGATTTCCGGTCTTGTAAACACAACCATCCCCGACAATCCCAAGTCATTGGGGAGCTCGTACTTTCTATAACGTTTTCCTTTAAAAGTGGAATCTAAAGCAATTACTTTTGAAGAGCTTTTTGTGAAACTTACAATAAACGGTTCGTAAAATATGGATATCTTTGGTGAGACTCTGATGAATTGAATTACAATTAATTTCAGATATTAAATTTTTTAGCCTGATAAAGCCAGATAGTAACCCTCAATTAGCTTGTGGCAAACTATGCAAATGTTCCAGATGAGTAAAGATTTCAAGGTACAACCGGCATATGGATTAAAATATTTATATTCTTAAACATCCTATTCTTTGAAAAATCTGTAAGTCATCAGCATGTTTGCCAAATTTTAGAAAAGGCGCATTGTAAATGAAAATTATTGTTTGCGTTGGCGTTCAAACGTAAGGATCAACTGATTTTTCACGAGGGATGCGCGGCAAGGCCCTGCTGAACTGGGAACGAAATTTTTCAGCCTGTAGATGTCAGTTTATTTCCTGGCTTCAGCATACGTTCTTCTTACCTTTCTACTCTATGTTTGAGGATTATGCAACACTGTTTTATGAAATTAAATAAAACTCAAATACACCCTACCCTATATACCCACCCTAATGACCCTATTTGACACCTGTTATTATGTGCAGTATAAAAACATAAAGCGGCTTTCCAGGGAAGTTGTTCTTCCCGGCATTCGCATTGTTGAAGTGTCTGTTTCCATAGGCGGCCCATTGAATAGTTGTTGTGAACTTTCGCTCAAAATTGTTATTAAAGAAGGCAAGAATAATTTAAATTAGCGAAATATATGGGAAAACTGAGGAATATCTGATCTTCTCCTCCGGAATTAAGCAATAGATTAATAGATAGGATTTTCTTAAAAATGGCGGACAACTGGGCAGCCTTTAAAACATCAGACGTCGGGAAAGAGGTGGGTTAATATTTATTTTAATATTCTAACAAGAAACTAAGAGCATGTTTACCTGTTTAGAAATAATCCGTTATAAAAATTGCTCGCGTGGTGTGTTTATATTTGCTCTTGTTGTGGTACATACACACTTATAAATATCGATCAAAATTCAAAATATTTATAGTTTATTTATCACCAGGCTGTATACGTACTTCATAACATAAATGATACACTTTTATATGAGACCGAATGCCATCTAATGATCTACCCGACCTATATTCTGTGTACTTGTTTATTCCCACTTCTATAACACGATTTGTCGTTTTTATTTATTACTGAATGGTTTTTATAACATGCCCCTTGACTTTTGAGCTTCAGCAGCCCAGGTCAGGCCAGAGGCTTCTCACTAAATTCCATTGCATACTTGAGGGTAAAATTGATGATATTATGTACAGTTTTTTAATAAAAATTTCCCTCTACTATCTTGAATTTCATATAATATAAATAATAATATAAATAATAATACTATATAATAATTTAGTAATATATATATGACGCACTAAAGTTATGACATCACTTACCTCAGCAGTCACATTGCGACCTTTGCTTTTATTACCTAGTAACAGATATTGTGTCTGTATAATTTGACTATACTAAGCAACTTGCCTCAAGTTTACATACATATCAATGCATACATATCAATACATACAATGTTGTATGCACCTTGGGTTAAACTGCCCTGGAGTTTTAAAAAATCTTTAAACTTGCTCCAGAAGGATTCTAAGGAACACATGAACCACTTCCACCAAGTTTAGTTCCGCCAAGTTTTCAATTGGCCTCTTATGACTGCTGACTGATTTTTATGTTCCACTTATCGAATAGCTGGCATCCTCATTTCCTTCCATCTTCCGTTTTATAGTTGTTTTAATTATTATTTTTAATTTAATTATTATAGTTGTTTTAATTACATTCAAGTTTGAAAATCTTTTAGGGTGATGATGACTGGGCTGATTTTGGTGGATTTGAAGTAAGTGTTTCCTGTTTACCACTCTTAGTGACCATTTTTGCTTACGCTAATGAATTAGTTCATCAGCTAATATTGCTGCAAGGAAAACAGGATACTGTGATAGCAAAGTTATCCAAAATAAATAATACTAGAGGGAGGCTAGTCTACTAATTTGTTTTGTTTTAAAACATTAAATCGCACCTCATTGTTATTCAAAATAGGTTTTGATTTTTGATACTGTATATAGTTATGTCATATATAGTAATTTTACAACACTTATAGCTTTAAAAAGCTGCCAGGTGCTGTGTGTCTTTATTAAAATATTGTGATGGTGCTATTATAACTACCAACCAGACCAGCTAAAATAAAAAAATACTGCAGTACATTAAATTGAACCAGCAAACTTGTCCAATAGTTATACAAACTATCTTATAACTTTAAGACATAATGTTCAGTTACATCGAAAATGTTAGATTGGGTTTTGAAATATCACATCAACCACCACCCCCCAAATTAAACTGAATTGCACCAAGCGTTGAGAGAAATTTTCAACTGTGCATACAGTTTACAAGACATTTTGACCAAGGCTTGTAGTTAGAGTAGCTTCAGGTGCTGACGCTCAGATGTCCGACACTCATGCTTCACCTAGCTAGAGCAGAATAGACCTTTCTCAAAATGACCTTAAACGAGAAAGGGCTGATGTCAAACAAAGAGTCATTGCCTCTTTAGTTTTTGTGGAGAACATTTAACGTCATCGTGAGATAGCTCTATTGGCAGAACATTGGACCAGCAAAGCCTGCAAGGGACGTGGTTTCCGTTCTCACCGTGGTCAATTAAATTAATTTTTGAGGGTGTAACATGATAGTACATCTAGGAACGCAGATTGAGTACCATTGGCCATCATAATAATTTATATACAGTGTTCACTATAGTACAGTAATACTGTATTCACCTGAGTCATACTACTTTCGTGACATTATTACAATACAGTCATGGTATTTTTGGTCATGTGCTGTACTAACCAAACTTTTCCGTCTACTTCCATTTCAGTCAGCATCGCCTGCATCAAACCCTTTTGGAAATTCGTCTGCTGCATCACAAGGTTTTCCCTGGGCCACCGCATTTCCTGCTTCCCCTCAACCGGCCTTAAATACCCAAGCAACAGCTGCATCACAGAAACCAGCATTCCCAACTAGCACTGCTCAGAGTGTAAATATATCTCCCTCTCCACCGCCACGCACGCAAGATACGAACCTACTTAATGACCCTGGGGAATATGCGATGCTTAGTACGGCTCACAGCGGTATACCTGGACAGAAAACTACCGCTACTACAGGGTCCATCCAACCTCCCTCAGGACCACCCACCCAGCCAAACCCTCTCAGTGGTCTTCCCTCCCAACTTACTTCTTCTCATGGAGAACTGCCTCACCACCAACAAACACAGCAAAGCAACATGCCCACCAAATCCAATCTTATTCCTTCAAACGAATTATTTATTACGCCGAGCACCGAGTTGACTACACATTCAGCGCCACCCCCTGTACTACAGTCAGCGCCACCCCCCGTACCACAGTCAGCGCCACCCCCCGTACCACAGTCAGCGCCACCCCCCGTACCATCTAGAGAACATCGCACCGTGACTGCAGTAGCACAGTCGCCAGCTGTGGATGAAACTCGAGTTCATAATTTACAAGGGGAGTTAAAGGAAGCTAATGAAAAAATGAATGACTATCAAAATATGTTGCATATATCCGAAGAAAAATTGTCACTTGCTGAAAGAGAAAAGATTCGACTAGAAGAGGTAATTTACCGTTAAAGGGAATAGAAAGTTTCAGATTTGATTGCGAAACCCGCTACGGCTACGAGATTTGTCATATTGTGTTGTTCGTGGTAGCGGTCTCCCATATGACTACCTACGACGTTTTTAAGGAAACTTCATAGTCCTCAATACGTGATTTAAAAAGCAATACGAGTTGTACTGTATGAGGTAATGTGGTGTATGAGGTAATGTAATGATGAGGTTATGTAGTGTATGAGGTAATGTAGTGTATGAGGTAATGTAGTGTATGAGGTAATGTAGTGTATGAGGTAATGTAGTGTATGAGGTTAAGTAGTGTATGAGGTAATGTAGTGTATGAGATAATGTAGTGTATGAGGTTAAGTAGTGTATGAGGTAATGTAGTGTATGCATGAGGTAATGTAGTGTATGAGGTAATGTAGTGTATGAGATAATGTAGTGTATGAGGTTATGTAGTGTATGAGGTAATGTAGTGTATGAGGTAATGTAGTGTATGAGGTAATGTAGTGTATGAGGTAATGTAGTGTATGAGGTTAAGTAGTGTATGAGGTAATGTAGTGTATGAGATAATGTAGTGTATGAGGTTAAGTAGTGTATGAGGTAATGTAGTGTATGCATGAGGTAATGTAGTGTATGAGGTAATGTAGTGTATGAGATAATGTAGTGTATGAGGTTAAGTAGTGTACAGTATGAGGTAATGTAGTGTATGAGGTAATGTAGTGTATGAGGTAATGTAGTGTATGAGGTTAAGTAGTGTATGAGGTAATGTAGTGTATGAGGTAATGTAGTGTATGAGGTAATGCAGTGTATGAGATAATGTAGTGTATGAGGTAATGTATGTAGTGTATGAGGTAATGTAGTGTATGAGGTAATGTAGTGTATGAGGTAATGTAGTGTATGAGGTAATGTAGTGTATGAGGTAGTGTAGTGTATGAGGTAATGTAGTGTATGAGGTAATGCAGTGTATGAGGTAATGTAGTGTATGAGGTAATGTAGTGTATGAGGTAATGTAGTGTATGAGGTAATGCAGTGTATGAGGTAATGTAGTGTATGAGGTAATGCAGTGTATGAGGTAATGCAGTGTATGAGGTAATGTAGTGTATGAGGTTAAGTAGTGTATGAGGTAATGCAGTGTATGAGGTAATGTAGTGTATGAGGTAATGCAGTGTATGAGGTAATGTAGTGTATGAGGTAATGTAGTGTATGAGGTAATGTAGTGTATGAGGTAATGTAGTGTATGAGGTAATGCAGTGTATGAGGTAATGTAGTGTATGAGGTAATGCAGTGTATGAGGTAATGTAGTGTATGAGGTAATGTAGTGTATGAGGTAATGTAGTGTATGAGGTAATGCAGTGTATGAGGTAATGTAGTGTATGAGGTAATGCAGTGTATGAGGTAATGTAGTGTATGAGGTAATGTAGTGTATGAGGTAATGTAGTGTATGAGGTAATGCAGTGTATGAGGTAATGTAGTGTATGAGGTAATGTAGTGTATGAGGTAATGTAGTGTATGAGGTAATGTAGTGTATGAGGTAATGTAGTGTATGAGGTAATGCAGTGTATGAGGTAATGTAGTGTATGAGGTAATGTAGTGTATGAGGTAATGTAGTGTATGAGGTAATGTAGTGTATGAGGTAATGCAGTGTATGAGGTAATGTAGTGTATGAGGTAATGTAGTGTATGAGGTAATGCAGTGTATGAGGTAATGTAGTGTATGAGGTAATGTACTCTATGACGCTAAAAAATCGAAGAGCAAAAGATCCTTGTCTTTAAAATTGCATTTTTTTCTAAAGGTGTTTAATGATATCTTTTTAGAGCTTGGAGAAAATGAAGAAAAGATATGCCGCCGCAACAGATGTAGCAAAGGAACAGTATTTAGAAATAGAAAAGCAGAAGGAAAAATACAATGAATTACAGGTAAGGCGGCGTGTATTAATCTATCAAATCTAAGCCTAAGGCCCCGTTTACACTATACCTGATTCGCTTTTCACGATATCTTCGTTTGTCTTTAAAGAGCAATGGTTAGTAGCAAATGCTTATTAGTCTTGATAGACTCCGTATATTTATTTTAATCTCTAACTGTAAATTTTTTTACTGCTTTTTAATAGCTGCAAAATTTGACCCACTCCGGAAACCATCCGGTGTAGTTTAAACGGGGCCTAAATCGTACTGTAGTGCTTACATATCTTATACGGTTGACTCCATTTAATGGGTATTTTGATTTTTTAAATATCGGTGGATTTTTGCCTTTGAGAGAACCAACTCTAGATAGTCATCTTTTTACAGTTGTGTCCACAAAGCATAGCTTATAAATACATTCACTAGTTTTATGTGAAAAAAGATATATGACAAATTACAACACGTATAGGCAAAACAATTTAAGCAAATATTTTAATAAACATGTACAAATATCACGAAATATGACAAATATAATACCGTTAACGCTTCACTTGTGCTTCGTAGTGCCGCTAAAGTTTACCACGATTAACACTTGCAGTGAAATGTTTAGAATTGAGCATACCATTTACTTGAGTCTTGCAGCCAGACTATTTTTAGTAAACAAACAGTAAACTTTGCAAGTAAACTATATCTCAAGAAAAAGGCTCGCCCTCAAGGCAGCGGTTTAAGTTGTACGAGTAACCGAGCACGTACATATAGACGTGAAGGTGTATTTTGTTTGGCAAGGCATGGCAATTTAGCGCGGCACTTTTGTTTATTTAGGATAAGCATGAAGACCAGTTGAAAAACCTAAGAGAGGCAGGACAAGAAGCTTTTGCATTGATTGTGGAAGAATACAAGGTTTGTCATATAGTACATCAATCGCAATATAGTACATTGATGATATTCAGTTGTGCTTTTTTTCCTGGTCTTTGTGATTCTTTCCTTTACACAATAATACATTCGGGAAACACTTTATTCCAGCCGATATAGAAACGTTTGCACAAGAAACCAGCTGTCTCTTTAGCATCTGAACTACCGTCTTGGGGATTTGGCATTACACTTCCTTCGTTGAACAAAAATCAAATGTTTAAGACGGTTAGAAGAATCAGAGTAGCAACTTACGATTATTAGGACCAAAAACATGAAACGTTACGCAAAAATACACCTGAGGCTGAGATCCTCCAGCTGTTGTTGGTCGACGCTCGACGCGCTTATACGATACTCCTCATTAGGAACTATCACTACTAAGCTGCGGAGTTGTGTGCTTGTGGGAGAAATCCGAGATCACGTGTTAATTCACGTGAAGTCAAACTTTTGATCACACGTTCGATTTCGCACCAAATTATACTCACCTGCAATTACCATTGTTTAATTATTTCTGAAACCACTTTTTATTGAACTAATATTTGTCTTAGCAGGTGATAAACTAAATGTATCTTTGCAGATGAAACAACTGGTGTTAGTGGTGTACCATTTCCACAGCTGTGAACCTCGGCGTTAGACTAGAGATGTATGACTGGGTCCTAATTAATGTTTTGATCCTCATTTTAGGAATTGTCAAAAACAGCCGTTGCACAAGAACGAGAGAAAAATGAAAAACATTTACAACAAGTACTTGAGGAAGAAAGAGAAAAATTTACAACGTTTATCAATCAACAGGTTTGTGAACAACAGCATTATCGTGTTTTATCTCATAGCTCTGAAGGGACCGCCTTAAGTACTGAACGTCATTACTCTACAAATGTCTTTAACAATTTCACCTATCGTATTTCTTACGCTATCTCGTTGCCGTTTTCCTCGTACATCACGAGGTTAAGTTGTCTGCAACTATACAAGTACGAGATCCGTCATTTTTCGCGTTATTTATTTACGCCATCATGCAAAACCCGTAGTCGTCAGGCCTTTGAGCGTGAGTTTGTTAATCAATTTTTCGTTGTAAGCAAACAGCGCCGAGTTTTGCGCAAAAATTATGAATTTACTTTTTCTATAAGATAAATTAATGAATTGTGCTGGAAATTCCTGACGCCTGCTGCAAGACCATCTTGCCAACAGTGTGATGATGACAAACAGCTAGAATCTGTCTGCCTGATGTTTCTCATATAAATATCAAAGCAGTAAATTTAGTTTAATCGATTAAATGGAACTTAGACAAATTGAACACATAAAGATGACAGCTCTCTTATACTCGTATACCTAGTACTTTTTTATAATTTCTTCCTAAATTAAGTGATTAGGGAACTACTGTACAGGGTGTCCCAAAAAGTCTCTCCGATTGAAATGAAACTTTTGTTGGAAATTGAATGCATGATCAACGCAGTAGTGTGTACATAGCATAGTTATTAGGTTGATGCTTTCAAATAAAGCGTCTTGCTTTGAATTATCATAATATCATAATATCATAATATCATAATATCTTTGGTTTATCATAATATTAAGGCAATGAGATTCTAACAAAGGCTTGATTTCAATAGAGGGACATTTCTTTGGGACACCCTGTATAACTAAACATTTCATTGTGCATATGGTTTACTAGGGAGAGAATCTTAAACTGGTGGTAAAAGAAGAACAAGCTGATAACTTAAAGAAATTAGAAGAAGCCTTAGAAGAACAAAAAGCTAAACATCAAGTAAGGAATTGGATTAAAATAGCCGCCTACTCACTGTCTGTCAGACTGAATATTTACGATTCTCTTTAACCTTAAATTTGTCAAGTAACTAGGAATTGTTATACCAGATAAAATCAGCAGAAAAACGAATTCGACTATGAAAAAAGAAAGTCACTCATTTCTGACTTTTTTAACCTTCGCTTTTATACAAGCTCATCATCACATATTCTCCCTATTCGTCATTAGTTAACCTTTATGTGTACAGGGTGTCTCAAAAAAAACGCAAGAATATTAATATTGTTCGGGTTTGCACTATAGTTCAGCTAAAATGACTTTTCGCATTGTAAATGAAGGATTAAGAGCCATTTTCAATTCCCAGAGGTACTTATCTATTGCGCTTTTGAGCTGTATTAATGTTCTGCATATTTAAGTGATTGCGTTTTTTTTGAGACACCCTGTAGTACACATGTATTTTGTCTCATATTTTTGTATTGTGCATAGCTGCTCATTATATATAAAGCTAAACTATATTTGAAATGCTCAGGTGTAAACATTTTCAATGTTAGGCTGAATTACAAGATTGTCTTGCGGAAGAAAGAGAACGTGGAAAAGGAGCTGTTGTAAAGGCTGTGGAGGTAAGTAAAGACAGATTTAAATATTTGCTGATCGTTGAAATTATCAGCGTTGTAAACAAGATTTTTCTTCAGTCACAACTGTCGCATGCATAAATGTTGATTAATATACTCAGATAAGGCCCACGAGGCTAGGCGAGGCTTAGTGAATACCGTGACTATAGTAACCTAACTAGTTATGCCCGCTGCGGATCGGTAGGGATGGAGACGGCAGCACGACGAAGCGAACGAGCTCGGCGAAGCGAACGAGCTCGGCGAAGCGAACGAGATTGGCGATGTGTAGTCTTTACTGTGATTTTCAATCATGCGTACGTGCATCAGATATGGAACCTAAACGGTACCCTCTCTATCCCGTTATCACACTGTCACACGGAATCACAGAAGTGAAAGCCGTGGAAGGAAAATAAGAACACACACGATGCACACATAGTAATAATTAGATATATACCGTAGGAGTCTTTTGCAAACCAAGTGAACCTAAAAAAGCTAAACTAAAAAAAGTAAAGGGACACCATCCCCAGACGGGTGGAATGTCAGGGGAGGGAGGCGGGGCGAACGAAGCAATAATAAGCAGATAAAAAACAAGGCAAGCCATATAAATACTAAGGCCTGGGGAAAATACCCCCGTGCCAAACACCCGGCTAGGTACCCAAGCGAGGGCCAACTCTTCGATATTAATTTATTTTATTAGTATAGGTAATAGTATGGTTTCGAGTGCAATTTGGAAAAAACATGCACGAGTGAGTTTTTCAAAGACTCAAAATAGCACGAGTCCGAAAAACGAGTGCTATTTTGGGTCTTTGAAAAACTCACGAGTGTATGCTTTTTTCCAAATTGCACGAGAAACCATACTATTACTTGTTAATAATATAAAACATGAAAATGTTCGAGACAAACACATGAGTATTTCTTGTATTTCTTGTCCCTATGTACATTTTGTTGATCGATTTTTCCTTTATATTGAATATTTCCTTTAGCGACGTTATATTTCTTAAATATTTTGTTGTGAAACCATTGTTTTAACGTTAAAAAGTCGCGAAAATCCAAATTTCCGTTTTTGATTTCCGTCGCCATCTTGGTTGTTTTGTTTGGGGCAAGCATTATATTTTTCCCGCCAAAACGTAGCTCAAATTTGATTGGCTGATATATTTATGACAGCCAATCAGATTGGTCTGTTACAAATTTTTGCACTGTTGTTACAGATTTTTGCACTGTTGTTACAGATTTTTGCACTGTTGTTACAGATTTTTGCACTGCTGTTCGGGATTAATTGCATTGAAATCGACCAATCACAGTCGAGAAACATTTTCATGTATATTATTATACTAATAAATACATTTTGCGGCCGTTTGTTCTTACGTCGTTTAGCTTAAACGGTGGATAAGCCAAAATTTAAAAAGCACTCTCATACATCTTGTGAATGACTGAACCTGCATTTTATGCATTAAATAATTATGTGCTTCCATTGAAAATTAAGATATTACTTCATTTCTCGAATAAAGAGATAATTTTGTTTCCATTTTGAACTTAGCTAAAGGCTAACCGCCTTTCGAACAACCAGCGCCTGTTATCTAAATATGACTGATAACGTGTGGCTGAGATAAAAATATCGTTGCTCCATCACAATTTAATACCGGATATATCTCACTATGGTTTCTACCACAAATCGCCATTTTAATAAACTTGGTTTTGCGATGCGTCCCAGCGAACCTTCATGCAGACGTTAATTTGCCAATGCACAACGCCAAATTCAGGTTGTCCATTCAATCTTTCCAGGCTGTTTTTAAAAACTCCTCATAATATCAACCTTACATTGAAAATTTTGTCGACTGACTATGGTACGTCTATGCACAATACATATTACAGTACGCTTGAAACGTTATGACGCTTGTCATTATTTCAAATAAAGCTAACTTGCCTTAAAGCCAGTACACGTTACTTACCGTACAATACTGCTCAGAAGTAACTTAACACTACGTTCGCGTTCCAATAGCGTTCCGAAAGCGTTCCGAACGCGTTCCAAAATGCGTTCCTTTGCGTTACATGCGCGTTCCATGAAATATTTGGAACGCGTTCCTCAGTTGATTTGAAACCGCGTTCAGCCTCGTTCCCAGGACCTTTAAATGAAATAAATATAGGAACACTACAGGCTTTTACATAGATCAGTGGCTAAGCTGAGCGATTTCTTGCGCACGACTGCATACACACTCCGCCGTTCAAGCATTAAAATTTATACGGCGAACGTGAAACATATACGGCAAAGCTGAATTAGCTGCTTTTCTAAATACATAAGAAATAGCCTATTGCTTTCTTACATTACTGCTGAATATCACAAGTTTTATGTAGAACGTTTGTAGGTAAGCGAAATTGCCGCACACTTAAAGATAGTGGAGTTAAAACACAAACTTTGTTAGCGGTTTGGCGTTTGCCGTAAATGTCAAACTAAAGGTCTCTATAGCTATATAATGAACATCATTGTACATATCTAAACACTTCTATACATTTTACCTACCTATTATTATTTAGTCAATCTTTACATAGGCAATGTATATTATTAAGGTAATTGTTATTTAATAGATTAATTTTTTTTACAAAAAAAGACTTGATTTTAAAGGCACTTTTATGCAATTTTATGCCACTCACGTTCAGGTGCTTAAAACCCTTGAGAAGCGCTTATGTTAGTAATCAATGTCAAGGGCACTTGAACAGTCCTTGAAAAATCGAAATTAAAGAAGGTGCTTGAAAAATACTTAAGAGTTATAACCTTTATCACTATCCACAAACCAATGCTATATACTTTCCAGGAGGAACAAGCTCGCGGGAAGGTTTTGACAGAAGAGTTGATAAATGAGCAGAAAAAAGAGTTTGAAAGTTTTATAGCAGAACAAAAGGTAGCTATAGTATAGTTGCATTACCGTTCACGAGAAAGTATAACAGTCCCGTGCGGGACGGGAATTTCTTCCCACGGGAAAGGAGGGAATATTATGCTAATAAAAGTTCTAAAAACCCATAGCAGTCCAAACATAAAAAAACTTCGGCATGCATCTCGTTTCTAAAATCAGTTTTATCTTGCCCCAATAACAAATTATTTGCTGTGAACTGTGAACGTGCATATATAATTTGTTATCAACTTATATAGTGCCAGTTGCTTTTACACTCGGCCATTTCGATGTACACTGTTTGAAAGAACAACAGACCTGACAGTTTTTCAAAATCTTTTCGATGTAGCTATATAAAGAATAGTTTGAAAATTCAGCATGCGAAAATCTGAATGGCCTCACGAAACACCCAACAGACGTTACTGCTCTTTTTCTGATAGCTTTATAGATCGTCATTTCTTAGTTGTCTTGTTAGGAAATATAGAATGTAGAAATAGTAAAAGAGTTCTTTTTGTTTTAGAAAATTTTCGAAGAAAATCTTGCAGAGGAGAGAAAGGAGACCGCCAAGAAAATCGAGGAAGTCCTTAAAGAAGAACAAGAACGAGCTAAAGTGAGGTTTTTATATAGAAATAATAGTGGTTGTCGGTGTTTACCCACAATTCTGACTTGCCAGGATGAATTGCCTGAAAACTAACCAAAACCAAAAGAACCTCCACATTTGACCATTCCTTCTTCTGGAGAAAAATTGTTGTCTGACAACCCCTAATTTACGAATACAAAGAGATAAATAGGGGTGCGAGTTGCGATAAAAACATTGTTAGCGTGTGTTGATCTGTTCTTGTCAGCAATTTTAAAATCAACCTCGAGCATATGAAAGTCGGTTTTGGCAGAAATCACTCTGCAATCAGATTGTAGAAAACACGAGTGGTATCAAAATGAATATAATAACCGCTCAAATGGCAATCCTACTCTTGGGCACAAAGCAAATAACTACAGAGCTGGAACTAGGTGGCGTACAGTAATGATCAAATATGGCGGTTTTTTGTACGCGTTTTTTAGTGCGCCTGCGCGTAAAGCGACCAACTGCGCATTCTCGGCAAGTGCCTGAAATGTTCAAAATTGCTGGAATTTAATTCTTGCTTAAACATTTTCGATAATTGAAGCCTTACAATATCGTCATTTGTATAGCATTTTACGCGCTTAAAATAAATTACACACTTGTTTATACTTTCAATCTACAAGCGGGTACACCAGTTCCAGCTCTGTATTGATTACTCTGTGTTTTAGTTATACCTATATAACGAATTGCAGAATTTGCAACTGATATATATTTACAGAAGATATATGTTCTAATGAATATTCTGATGTGAAATATTCTACAGTGGAATAATTCTAAAACCATTTATTGATGGTTACACGAATTTGACTTATTATGCAGAATGATTTGGATGAAGTAATTGCGGAAGAACGACACAAGTCACGAAATGTTGTTAGCGCAGTTAAAGAAAAGACGAAAGAAGAAATGGGGCAGTATATCAAGGAGAAAGAAAAGGTGGGCACTTTCTGTTACAATATACAATTATCCAGGCAAAACAGAGCCTCTTTATGCTGACGTTTTATCTCCCAATTCAATATTACTTCCCTAAATAATGTTTTTATCCATGCATTATTTTATGCTTTGGTTTCATTCACCTTTCTTTGGCCTTTTTAGTTTGTCTGCAAATAACTTTCCGCCATTCTGTTTATTTCGGCAAAATCATTTTAAAATTGTAGTGCAGTAGAGGCAGCTGATAATGTTTCCTAGCGGAGGTTCTTAAATACTGCACTACATTGTACTCATAAATGAGGTGCACCACTGTAAAACAACGAGAGGTACCTGTGAAGATCCATTAAGAGTACGCTGAGTTTCCCCTACTATACTGCGCTGCACTATCCAGCAGTTCCCTAAAGTATTTTATTACCTGCCCTGAACAGCAGTTCTCGAAAAAGTACGTTCATTAACGTACCCTGAAAAAAACCCTGAAACAGTTCCCTAAAGTATTTCATAACGTACCCTGAACAGCAGTTCTCGAAAGTACTCCATTACGTACCCTGAACAACAGTTCCCTAAAGTACTCCATTACGTACCCTGAATTACAGTTCCCTAAAGTACTGCATTACTCCCTGAACAGCAGTTCTCGGAAGTAGCTACTTCATTACGTATGTACCTTAAGCAACAGTTCCCTAAAGTACTCCATTACTCCCTGAACAGCAGCTCTCGAAAGTATTTCATTACGTACCCTGAACAGTAGTTCTCGAAAGTACTTTATTACGTAACTTGAACAGCAGTTGCCTGAAGTACTTTATTACGTACCCTGAACAGCAGTTCCCTAAAGTACTTCATAACGTACCCTGAACAGCAGTTCCCTAAAGTACTTCATAACGTACCCTGAACAGCAGTTCCCTAAAGTACTTCATAACGTACCCTGAACAGCAGTTCTCAAAAGTACTTCATTACGTATACCCCTGAATATTACTATCTTTCTCAAGGCTTTTAACCCATATACGCCAGGAATTTATTGAGGCAAAAATGTTTTTTTTGAATTATTAGCCATTTTGTATTTCAGGATAAAACATGCCTGCAACATTGCCGCACAAATCTGGGTAAAAAGTTGTTTTTGCTTGTGATTAAATATGCGTCATGAAAATAAGAAATTGTCGATATTTTTGTCATGCAATGCAAACATGCCGAAAACAAAATCCACGGCTTAAATATTTCGAGGTTGGATATATTTTGTATGTGAAATAATTCTTTTAAACTTTCTTTTAGGCTGACGAGGCTGTTCGACTACGGAGTTACCAAAGTATGGAACTTTTCTTACAGGGAGTACAAACACAACTTAGTTCTCTCATAAATAAAAGTGATATCCCGCCTTCGTCGTAAACTGAATATATAGCTACCACTCGCTGGCCACGTAAGTGAGGTTCGTAGTGGAAAAATATTAGACCAAAGTCCTAATTTGGCTTCATACCAATCATAGCGTGATTAATATACCAGCGATTTGTTACGTGTTATGCGGCATGAAATATTTATTTATTTTCATTCATGCACTTCACTATATACGCTCTTTCGCTAGCCTACTGTATAATTATAACATGCGCTGAAATGCATGGCTGCCAAATAATTTACTCTTAAAAATGCATGCGAATAAAGCAACAATAATGATAATAATATTCGTGTAATTTTGCTTGATTATATCAAATATGTAGGTGTACACCACGAAAGTATTTACTATACTTACGTGGTGTACCTATACAAGCTGATTTACTGAAGCAATAATTAGTCAGACTATTTAAATGACGAGTTTAAATAATATAAACATGTGCTAAATTCTAAGAATGGCCACAATTGTTTCTTAGGTGCGTGTAAAAATAGTTCAAGCATGAGACATGAATTGAGAATGCCAGAATTTTGAAATCGGTCTGCTTTTGAATTCGCCTTATTTAAAGCACACGGACTTCTGCTGAAGTTTTTAGTTAAAGTGCTAACTTGAACCTAATTTTCAAACGCGAAAGCATCGAAAAACCTTTTACCTACACTATGTCATATGTTATATTTTTGTCTAGCTTTTTTACTACTATAGAAATTGGATATATGACGTATAATAAGTTTATATTATTGCTGTTATTATTATTATTTTAATATTATAATAATTATTTGAATTTTATATAGATTTATGCTAATTTTGCGTACAGAATAGAGACTAAATGAAATGTATGATAATTCAATTATAAACCACTCACAAATTGCGAATGCTTTTTTGCTCTCTCATTCATATATATATATATATATTATACGTGAATATCGACTAAATTTATAATAAGAAATATACGTATAATAAATTATCGCCGTTAGGTTTCATCCAGTGTCAAAATCAATCTGACAAGTTTCTAACTCTTGCCTGATAATGTACTGCATGGTTATGCAACTATATAACTGTAAAAACAACGTATACCTATATAGTTATACATATATATGAGAAAACAATCCTATGAGTAACAACGTATTTTCGTAGGTGCGTGGATCTAGGGAGAGGGGGTGGGTGTATGTAGTAATGTTCGTATAAGGCAATAAGGAAACAAACACTCATTAGTATATAGAAAGTTTTAAAAGTTAATATTTTCCAGAATCTGATGGGTTGAACTTCGTCACGTGAAAGGCAGGAAATTCGAATGTTTACCGCAAAATCTTGTTTGGCAGGTTTGAACCTGTTTGTTCGGGGGTTGATTAATTAATCACGCGACATATGACCTTTGAATCGCAGCCGAATTCTTTGTTTTCATTTTCTTAAAATTAAAAGTTTGTCAGTTAGTTTTTCCTACGTTTTTGTTGCGTATTTACACCCATTTTTTCCCTTACAAACCTGCTATATAACTAAACACTTTTTGACTGATCTCATCAGGAAACATCATGTTTTGTTGACCCTCCACCACCTCTCCACCACTGGTGGTATCGGATCCACAAAACATGATGTTTTCCTCCGCTTGGGATCAGTCAATAAATCTTAAATGGTGACCGAGGTGCATCGTTTCCTTTTAAATTTGTTTTTTTATTTGTTACAGCCTGGTGTAGGCTATTCATGATATCTTCATGATTCGGAAGATCGGCGACGATAAATACCCCTTTTTCACTTTTCGAATGCTAAAAAGCTCGAAATATAAATATTGAAGACCAACACAGTGGTTTTAGTAAAGCCATAAAAGACAATTTCCACAATTTGACCATGCAAGGGACGAACACGTCACTCTCATGTACTGTTTGTCCTTACTTTAAATATATTACTAATCTACATATTCAAATTTGCATGTAGATGTCTTATGTTAAGACGAAAAGTTACTTTCAAATATCTTCATGATTCGGAAAATCGGCAACGATACCCCCTTTTTTCACTTTTCGAATGCTAAAAAGATTAGCACAATAAAAAGCCGGGTTTTTTAAAAAAACACCAGTAAACAACTGTTTGCGTGTAATCAGCACGAGGAGGTAGAGGAACTATCCCCTTAGAATTATTTCTATAAGTATGTATGAAGTTCTTCTCTTCGAGCAACCAGTATATTCAAGTGATAGTTTAAACAGATGAAACACGCCTACGTCGATACGCATAATGTTATATTTCACGCATGTTGTTTTATTATTCAACAAACGAATGTATTTTATCCCGTGAAATTCAGATGATTTCCAAACTCAGGCAAAGTTCGAAGCACAAATTATGGGCTTATGATTACCACGACCTAATTTGTAATTCTCTCTATGTGATGTGGCTTATAGTTTTAGCGAAGTTATACCGTTCCTTATATAAAAAGAGGCGATATTTCGCGATGGATTTTATTGAGTAAATCGGCTGCTGTATGTTCTGAAATAATTTCAAAAAAGTTCTGTTATATATTATTAATTACACTGTGACGTACAACATTCCATTCCTATTTCCTATATCTAGTCAATCACAGCTAGTGATATAGCCTGAAATTCTGATTGGTTAATTGTCTCTGATTGGAGGTTTCGACGTACCGTGTTCAAACCACAAATATTTATTCGAGAAAGCTGGTATGATAATAATTTTTAATCACACGTTTTCGATCCTTTTACTAGAACGCACACAAAGACACCTTTGTGTTCTTGCCATTCCTATAACGTAAACACAATTCGTCATGATTCGGATTCAGCAAGTATCGAGTTACTCCGTGGGGAAAATTCGAAGCCTGGATTTCGTTATCCTAGTTCATCATCCTAAGTGTCTATTTGAGTAGACCTACAGACAATAACAATTGGGCAATCAAGCGAAACTTTATGGAAGTACAAACCTTTTTAGGCATTACGTAACTCTTACGCTTGCAGCATAACAGCTTCTTACAGTTTAATTTGCCGTCGATTTCACTTCAAGGAAACATCATGTACACTCCAGCACTGATAATGTCTGCAATGTTTCAACATTTGTTTTCGTCCGCATCATATCCACATCGTGACGACGAGTTGCGTGGGTTCTTGGGTTGGTATTATAATTTATAGAGATCAGTGATTAAGTTGAGCATAATAATGTCAAAAGATAATTGGTATATTGTGTCATCAAGACCCCCAACAGAAAGCAAATTAAATTATAAGTAAATTCTAAATAACACTTTCATTATCCAATTTCCACCCTTACAAACTACGGTGAAGTATATAAACACTGCTTTCTGCTGATTTTCACAATCTTAATGTTCCGTATCGTGTGTTTTGCTTCACCAATTCCGCAGTTGACCTCATTTAAGTCACAAAACAAAATTTGACTGCAGAATTTAACGAATAAAAGAGGTGGGGATAATTACATGTATATCTCTAATTGGGCGTTGGCTTGTGTAAATCAGTGTCGTTCAGGGTGACGATAATTGATGACCATCATACGAGTCTGAATTTAACGAAACATAGCTATAATATGTCATAGCAATGGCATGCTTTTTATAATATTATAACACTTTCCATTAAGATATTGCCTTTAATACCACGCAGGCAAATCAATATACATTGTAAAAACGTTTTACCAAGAATTATTATGCATCAGCATTACTTTTCCTTGCAAGCTATTTGATGTTTCTGTATTATATATGATACCCTGCGAGGAACTCGGGGTAGTCATGGACCAATCAACATTATCTGTATATAATTGAGAACTGCTTGAATTTATACAAACTGGGCCGATTTGACTCACGCCTTGGTTATCCGTGAATCACGTCTATAACCTTACATGGCTGTTCGCAGGTTGATTTCATGCGTGTTGGCAAGTCACGGTAAATATATAGCAGAGGGGTCTGGGTGGACTAGGACACCTCGAATGACGAAAGAAGCACTTTAGTCACTGAATTGACACAGCCTTAATTTCCCGTGATGTTAACAATTCACCGCAATTTTCATTTTGAGCATAAAATTTATAATTTGGCCAACGTGCGTTGTTATCGCATTATATTTCTCCCGAAAGATATCTCCTGGTACGATAGAAAGAGGATTACATTCAGTTGCTACCTTTAGATGAATTGATAACTCATTTCTTCTTGATACTTGAGGCCCACACAGACAGGACGCGATGCGGCAACGCGACGCGAGTTTTCAGTTTTCAAAAGCATATAAATTAAATTCTTTGAATCTATTAACGCCAAAGCAGTCAGTCAAAACGTATTATCGTTTAATAATCTAGAAGAATATAATGATTGGCAAAGCTTAATTTGCTTTTCGAAAAAAACAACTTAATCGAATCCTGTCTGTGCGGGCCTTTATATAAAATGTCAAAAAATCAACTCGGCCAACGCACTTTGCGTAAGTCTCAACTGTTTTAAAAGTGAATGTTTTACATATCGCCATGGTGAAGTCTGTAGAAATTCAGTGGTCACAGTATGGTCACTTTTACCACTTGCTGCGTCAGTGATTTATTTGCTTTATTTTGCAGTGAAATCATTTCATGCTTGCATGATATATCGTCTACATCTTCCTGTGCTTTACTTGAAGTCATCTTCAAATCACTATGTAATGGTAAAAAAAGGCAGAGTGTGGTGAATACTTCAAACAGTACCAAAAAGTATCTTCTAAAGTAAGTAATGTTTATGCTGAAGCAAATAACAATTCCTTCGTTCGCGAATATAGGCAAAGGATAATCCTAGGCCTTAAATACGTCGTAAGTTCTATATTTTTGTGTGTTTAACAGAATGATAACAAACATCCGATGTTCTGTAATAACTATACCTGGTAGAGTAACGAAGGAAGTTTTTTATCAGATGGCATTTCATTTTTTTGCTATCACGATGCCGCATTCTGTATTATGCTTTGCCGAAGTCC